CGATAAATATTTGTTGATTTTTAAAATGGATTATACACAACTGCTATATGATATTATCATAAAATTAATTATTAAGTGAAAAAATAAGGGATGACAGAGCTACAAGGAAAGTTAAAAGTCAAACTGCCAACTTTTAAAGGGAAGAAATTAACTTACATGGTTTAATTTTAGCAAATAATAGTTGGAAAGAGTGTACGTTTGTGTATATAATCTTTGTTCACAAAGATAAAGTTGAGGATTTGAAGGAAATCTGATCAGAGTTTATACACTGGAAATTATAATCCTTTGGTAATCTAAGTATTTTTGCTAAACATAGTTTTCAGATATTACAGTTTTGTTGGCAATCTTATATAGTCTGGTTATGGTCAGCCCACTTCAATAAGAAAACAGTCTTTATGGTAATACAAAGGGAAAGAGACAATAGCTTAAGCTCCATATTTCAAAATAGCAATTACCAGGACCAGAAAATGTATATGGCTATTTCCATAATTTTTGAAAAGGTCAGATAATTACTTAGGCAGACACTGCCAAGTTGAAACAGGGAGAAAGAAATTTAAATGGTATTACATTTCAAGTCAGTAAGGACTGAGTCAGACTTTAAAAAAAGAGGTATAGTCTGTGGTATATAAATTTATATGATCATATACTGCCATGGTTTTTCCTTTAAACATCCTGCCCTTTCATAATTTGCATAAATGCTCCCCTGTTTTTTCACTTTCACTCTATTCACATTTTCTATGTGTATATATAGTGTATATATAGTTGTTTTTCAATTGAAATATAGCCTGACTTTGTCTTTTAAGTATTTGGTTCATTTATATTTAATGTATTACCAACATACTGGGACTTAAATGTACTATTTAATATGCCATGTTAAATCACCCATATCTCCTTCAAAACTGGAGCAATTATTCCCTAAAGTGCTAAGCATATATATATATATATATATATATAGTCAACAGCTCTCATTTGAATACTTATTTGGGACTTACCTTCAGCTAGAATACCCAAGGTCATGTCTTTTTTTTTTTCTTTAAAGATTTATTTTTTGGCCCTCCCTGGTGGCACAGCGGGTTAAAGCACAGCACTGAGACACTAAAGCCACTTCTGCATGAGTTTGATTCCCACCTGTCCTGGAGGTGACCACATAGCAGGGCAGACCTCTCTTGACCAGCCCGCTGCTCCCCTCAGCAATGTACTTCGTCGATCTGCCTGTTCTGCTCCCCAATCTGTCCCGGGTGAATTCTCTCACCCTCCGCATCTCTGGCTTGTACCCCAGTTCTGTATGAATAAATAAATAACTCTTTAAAAAAATTTATTTATTTTTGCATACAAGTACAGGAGTATGGGCCAATGGTACAGAGAGGTAAAAGGATTCACCACAGACAGAGTGAGAAGCAGTAAAGGCAGATTCACTGAAATACACTGCTGAGGGGAACAGTGGGTGGGCCAGGAAAAGTCTGCTGTGCCACATGGGTCACCTCCCTGGCCTGGGATCAAACTCGTGCTACAATGGCTGAGGATAGCTTTCACTGTACTTTAACCCATTGCACCACCAGAGAGGGCCCTGTCATGTCTTCTTAAAAGGGACCTTGGATAAATAAAATGTGCTACATACATGCTTTAAAAAGAATGAAATTCTGATTCATACTACAATTTGATTAAACTTATGTCAAATGTTATAAGCTAGATGGCAAAAAGACAAATGCTGTATGATTCTATATTTAACTTTTTGAAGAAATGCCATATTGTCCTCCTGATTTTTTTAATGCATCTCAATTCTCCATGAAATTATGCAATGCTTCATTTATTTTCTCCACCTTTTTTTTTTAAATTTATTTCAGTATGAATATAGTTATTTTAAAATCATTTTTTGGATGATCCCAATAACTGCATCATCTGTGGATCTGCTCTGGAGTCCATGTTTATCTCTTGGTTTTTGGTACACCCTCTAATTTCTCACTGTACAGAGGGCTTCCTTTCCTTCTAATAGTCAGATATAATAGTAGCTAAACACCTTAACCCAATCAGTACTGTGCTAAGTGGAGGCTAGGTTGTTTCTCTAATAAAGCTGCAAGACTGTAAGACATGGAAAACTATTTCTGGCTCATCTCCACTCCAAGAGCATAGCCCTCTAGGGTTTTTAATGGAGAACCTGGGAATTCATGTTTTTCCTCCCTGGCAGCTTCATAACTGTAGACTGTATCCTGTGAGACTGCCAAACTATCTGTTTTGCTTTCAATGGTTTTCCAATGAAATTTTTAGCCTCTCATTCTGTAAAGCCCCAGGATTTGGCAAATATCCCGATAGGATAACCAGCCGTATGCTTGAGATGCCTTTGGTTTTCTACAAAAGTTTACTGTTTTTTGGTCTCATGCAAGCAGCTCTCTATCAGTAAATAGTTCTGGGTTCCAGACTGCCCATGCCAAGTATAGCAAATTCCATGAGGAAAAAGAGGTTATAAAAGTTAACTCACCTCCTTGAAGTTCTTTCCTTCTACATTTACTCTTAGGCTCCAATTCAGCTCCTTGTTTTTCTGCTAATATCTTCTGATATAAATTGCATTAAAGCATTTTAGCTCAGAATTGTGTTTTTGTAATAGTGATTGATGGGAACCCAATCATTATAACTTATTAAAGTTTCTCTAATGATTTAGTGGTTACTCTACTCAGGACAGTGTTGTTAAGAATTTGCATATCACAGGAAACAAGATACCCTGACCTTATAAATGTACAACAGAAAGGGAAAATAGTGAATAATTATCTTAGTAATAAGGTGTGATAAATATTATGACTGCAAGTGCTATGAAATATAACACAGGGAAACCTGAAGCTTTACAGAGTTATAAGACAATAGTAATCAATTTAATTTGTGTTCCATCAGTCAGGGTTAAAACAAAAATAAACCAACATTATTCCTCAGGATGGTTACAGTCTATTAACCGGGCAGGGGAGGGATTTCTAATAAAAGAAACAAGGGAATGAATTAGTAAAGAAGAATCCTATTTAAGTCTCAAAAATGTTAATCTTATGTCCATTCCAACTGGTTGTTCTAAATCCTTATGGAATTTTAAGACAGGAGTTTGCTCTGGGGGCAGGCAATGTCATTATTACTTTACATGGTCATTAATCTTTAAAGTACTATTTTAAAAGCCCCAAGCCCATTTTATAAATAAAGAAACATGACTAAGAAAGAGAATTTGTTGATGATAGTGGAGATAAAATTTGATCCTCATTCAGTCTCTCTATATAAAGCTGCTAGCCTTATTACTATTATCCTATGCCTGAAAAAACCAACAAAAGTTGTAATTTAATAAAGCTAAAAAAACTCACCTGTTCACTTTCAATGAAGAAGGAAAAAGCAGAATTATATTATCAATAATATAGTATTATTGATAATATTATAATAATATATAAATAATCAAAACTATCTAAAATGTTTATTTTGCTTCTAAGCTACCTTTCTTAGACTAGATGCCCTGAGGCAGGTATTCCATGGAAAAAAGATTTCCATTGTCAGATATATTTGAAAACAGGAAGGTAAACAAAAATAAGTAGCCAACTTTACTGAGGACTTCAAAAATGTATATTTTATTTATTTTTATGTTGAAGAACTGGGGTAGAGGCCAGAGGTCAGGGAAGTGAGAGGATTCACTAGAGACAGAGTAGGGAGCAGAATAGGCAGATGCACTGAAATACACTGCTGAGGGGAGCAGTGGGCGAGACAGAGGTCTGCTAGCCATGTGGGTCACCTCCCTGGCCTGGAAGCTTGTGCTGCAGTGGCTGGCAACAGCTTCATCTTGCTGAGACTTAACCCCTTGCTCCACAAGGGAGGCCCACAGAGAGGACTTTTTGGATCTTTAATATGCTAATGTGCATTGTTCAGCTGGTGATTTTAGAAATATGTTTTTAAGAGAGTAAGCCAAAACAAAATATATAGACTTTTAAATATCTCTGCCTAATTAACATGTAGCAGTCCTGGGAATAATGTTCAGACTGACTGAAATACACTGCTGAGGGGTGCAGCAGGCCATTTGGGGGAGGGTCACCCTCTGTCGAGGGATCAAACTTGTGCTTCCTAGTCCTGTGCTTTACCCATTGCGCCACCAGGGAGGGCCCCTGATTTCTATTTTTATTAGAATTCCATAAGGCTTCAGGTGTCCCTGTGTTGTGCTTCATAACACTTGCTATCTGAATGTTTATCATACCTTACTGTGATTATTCATTATATTTCCTTTTAGTTATGAATTCATAAGGACAGGAAATCTTGTTTCCTGTGATATGTACTATTGGCATCGCTGATCTGGCTGAAGTAATTATAGAATCTTTAATAATTATGGAAACTTTAGTAAGTTACAGTGATTGGGTTCCAATCAATCACTATTAACAAAATTATAATTCTGTGGTAAAATGCTCTAATATGATGATTTATATCAGAAGATATTAGCAGAGAAAAAAAAGGTGTTATCCTTTTTATTTATCCTCCATCATTTAAAATGTCAGTGCTACAGAACCAATATTTACTATTGGAAATCTTATACTGATAAAGAATGATTTTCCAGAGATATACCCAAATTATCAGAGTAGAAATTAAACAGTAAATATACTTATGCTTTTTTGATAGTTTTTGGCATTTGAAAATTACCCCATTTATTCCCTAGAAAGGTTTCCTGCAAATAACTTTTATATTCTAAACATTTAAGCAGCCATCTGACTAAAATAAACTTCAAGTATATCTGAAAAGCCAAAAACCCCTCTTTTGTAAAAATCTCTTATACTAACTAATCTGTATAGATCTCTCTTATATCTGTCTGAATACTGGGTTTCTCGAAGTGAGGAACATTCCTACTAACTTGGTGATATCAAAATGCTAACAAGTTTAGTCAAGCTGAAGGTGAATTTAACATTTTGAAAATAACTGGTAGTAAGTATAGAAGCAGTGAACACGATGTGTTACTAGTATACAGGATTTTCTATATGTAGGAAATATAAAACACTTACTATTATTTTCTTACAGTCCTTTCCTCTGCAGAGTTCGGTGTAAGTAGAATACTGCACATATATAATCCAGCTTCCAACAAATACTGCCAACCAGGAGAAGAAAAGATATTTCATCCGCACATAAGAGAAGCGAGCCTGTGGGCAGAAGAGCACGTAACAATCACTCATTCAGGACCACGTCAGCATTCGCGGTCCTAGACCAGGAGCTGTCCCCCCTTTCTTGGAAGAACTCAATATATATTCTAGGCTTCCATATGGCAATTCTCCTAGAACAAAGTGTACTTTCACTCAGTCCAAACAGCACTGGTCTTAGAAAAGGAAGCTCCTTGGTCCTGCCAAGGGACGAGGGAACAAAATACCCTTTAAAATGTATAACCTTTCAAATACCACCAGCATGGAAGCTACTTACTAAGCACAAGCAGCCCGCTACTCAGGGCAGCGGGCAGGATCAGGTGAAGAGAGATACAGCTCCCACTTACCAGGAGTTTACAGAGGACTGTTCCAGATAAGAATCTTACAGTCTTCATGGATAATCATGATAAAAAAGTAATTTTGTTAAAAAGTCATTGAGAACAGAGACTCTGGCGATTAGTCCAGTGTCTCATGCGGAGTGAAGTTGAAAACAGAATTATTTTTAAACTTCACAGTTATTTCTATTTTCTTATTGTATTCACCAAGGTGCTATGTTCCTTGTATGTCGGCAACCAAATACTTGACATCTCACAGATATTCTGGAAAATTGAGAAGGTTACAAATATTAAAGAAAAAATTACTGGAAAAGAAGGGCTAAGATACATACAGAATAAATTATTCCTGTGTTGTGTGTCAGCCTGTAACGCTGCACAATAAGCCCCTCTTTGCATTGTTCTGCTCCCAGTGCTCTGGGATCTAATTGCAATTTGGGCCAGTTGGTGCTTTTTTTCCCATCAACCACATACAAATAATTTTATCCTCAAAAGTGTCTTTTGGTCAAGATCATTTATTTTTTGAGTATGGAGGTCTTGGCCTGGTTTTGTCAGTGGTGGAATTTAGGACTATGAAGAGAATTGAGCAGAATAAATTAAAGATATGTAAACAAACAATGAAAAGCTGGTTCTGCTTTTACGATCACGAGCTAGTTTCTCACACTGGGCAACAGGAGGATACTGTGAGCGCTGGGAGCATGCAAAGAAAGCAGAAGGATGAAAGGGACACAGGGCACCTGCAGGAGACAATGAGAGCGTGGCAGGAAGAGACCCAGGGAGTACTGCATTCTCTTGGCCCTGTCTGCAGTTTAGATGTCTGTTTGTGTGAGGTTAACAGATGGTGACTTTCAGTACCAAAAGGCTTGAGTACAATTAATTCACAGTTAAATGATGGGTCTTTGAGCTTCATTATTAATATACTAAAAAATGCCTGTAAGACAAGGAACCCTTTTGTACAGCTTTAAATGAATGCAGTCAAGAGACAATTCAGACAACATTCCAAATTAAATCCCGTAAGTGGCAACTGGGTACATACTAAGACATTTAAGATGACTTGGCCCCAATAAGAGATCTGGTCATGAGACAGAAACTGATATGTATGAGTACTGTGAGCCTTAGCTATGATAAAATGACAACATCTACTTGCATAGAGTTGCTCGGCATACAGAAAATGCCCAACAAATGTTAGTGAAATTAACTTGTAAGCCACTGAGTGAAAAGCCAACAATGCTGTCATTATGATCTGGCCATCACCTACTTTTTGGACTTGCCAAAAAGGGATACGGATCTGAATCTGACCAAGTCTTCAGCTCCCATTACCAGTTCACAGGAAATACCCGAAACAGAGGAACCAAAGTGATGCTAAAGTAAGTGACACTATTGGTAGACAATCAGCAAGCTGTGGGAAACACTGCAATACAAAACAAACAAACAAAAACACTTCTTGAACAAATAAATTACAAGGGGGAAATAAAGAGAAGATGGGGAAACATAACAATTCAAAATACTTAAGAAACAATATCAAATAATCCTGACTCAAAAGAAACATATGTTTAAAAAGATATTTTTGAGACAATTGAAGACAATTTGAAGAGTGACAGGCTATCTGATGGCGTTCAGGAGTTCATTTTTTTTTAGTTGTGTTAAAGGTGTGTGGTAATGTTTATGGTCCTAATATTTTAGAGATACTGAAATATTTATAAATGAAATGTATAGCTAGAATTTACTCCAAAATAATATAGGAAGGGGAAAGGAGAGAGGGTTTTAGCTGAAACAAGATTGCCATGCATTAGTAATTCAAGTTCAAGTTGGGTGATGGGTACAAGCCTTCTTTTCATGTTTTTCTTTACTCACTTAAAAATTTTTATATTGTAGGGCCCTCCCTGGTGGCTCAGCGGTTAAAGCACTGCACTAAGAAGCTTAAGCCAATTCAGCCCACCTGCCCCGGAGGTGACCACATGGCGTGGCAGACCTCTCCTGACCCGCCCGCCCGCTGCTCCCCTCAGCAGTGTACTTCGTAGATCTGCCTGTTCTGCTCCCCACTCTGTTCCTGGTGAA